TCTGTTGAATTGCAGGCGAAGATTACAGACCATAGTTCAGAACAGTCAGCGAAACGGCTTCAGTTAGACGATAACGTTGCAACGCAGACATTAGATCGTTCTCCATCCCCATAACAATCGTTTCAGTGCTTTAAACTGTGTTGATCGAATCGGATTTTAACCAGTTGATGTTTGCACTGTTTTTTTATGTTTGTAGTTCCCTATTTGGAAGATTGTTTATTGAATATGCCATGTGTTCGACCCAAACAGAATTACGCCTAAATCCATGTTGGTGCATAAGTTGGATGCATCAGGCTGTGGATCTTTTACAAACTTCTTTCCATTGCTTTTTTAAACGTATACACAAACGTTTTCGCTTGCACATTCGGTTGCGGGTGGTATGGTGGCGATGGTAAGTGTTAGATGACTAGCCGTTGACAGAAAGTCTGAAATCGGGAAGAGGTGAATCGAGAGCCATTGTCGGATACGACCACATCTGGTATACGGTTTCGCGAGAAAATTTCAGTTAGGAGCTGTATTGTCTTGGTTGTAGTGGGTCGCATAACAGGGCTGTTTTCTGGCCATTTTGAAAAGGCGTCGACCACAATTTAATACATAGTTCCATTATTTGGACCAGCGAAGTCGACATGTAAAGTTGACGGAAGATGCCAGTAAACCGGCGGAATTTCGGCATTCATCTTTGCCGCCTGCTGACACCGCATGCATTTTCCAACCAACGCTGTGACATTTTGATCCATGTAAGGCCAGTATGCATAACTCCTGGCTATGGACTTCGTTTAAGGCCTGGAAGACCGGGATCGAACTGTCTGAGCACTTTGGAACGAAAGGATTCTAGCGCCACTACTCTTTCACCAAACATCAGACAATCGTTGACGATGCATATTGACTCCCGCCGCGGGTTCATTTGCTTCATGTCACCTTCAAACGTTTTCGACGGCCAACCGTTAGTCATCGTCATCTTGATGATGGGGTCGTTTCTAGAAGCATTTTGTATGTCTGTTGCAGAAACCGGTAATGAGCAAATTGTCAGATAACCTTCTGCGTGGTCTTCCATCGGCAGAGATGTGATTGACATGTTTTCCTTAGCCGCAACGTGATAACTAATGAGTCGTGACAAGGCTTCTTCTTGACCGAAGTGTAGGATGCGTCAATATTGGATTTCAAAATCATCCTCCAAAAGTACCAAGGCCAATCGCTGCAGAATGGGCTTGAATGCCAGACTTAGAACCGAATGATCTGTGGGAAGCGTGGATCTTCAACCGTAAAGAAACTTGTGAAAACGCTAACAGAAAATTCTTTTCTGATGGGGTAAGTGTACAGGATTCAAGCAAAACGGCTTTTTATGACGCGTCTTAAAACTGAAGTGAAATATTAGCACCTAGGCCATAAGCTGAAGCGTCTGTCGCTACGATGATCGGCAAGGATGGATCGTAGTGTTTTAATAAAAAATCGAAGCTAATTATGGACGTGAGTTTACCAATAGCTCCGTCACACTCCTTAGTCCAGTTGCAAGTGCTGTTTTTCTGCAATAGACAATTCAATGGAGCGCGATGCGTTTTTGTACCAATGTCGTGCGGCAGTGAACCGACATAATCCAGGTTTGAAAATGGTTGAAATAAGCGTCATTACTCTTTTGTGCTCCGTGGTCACGCTGAACAACCTGAACTTGAGAACCACCATGGCCTCCAGATTGCATCAAAGTGCTTTCACTCTGCAAGTTGATGAGGCGTTGGTAATCATCAGTGATCACATCGAGTGTCAGTGTCGAGTCTTTTTCAAGCCGGTTAAGCAACTGAGTTCTGATGTCAGAGAATTTAGATGATTGAAGACTGCATATGAATATGAGGGATTTTAATTGGTCATCGGTGACAAATTTGAGTTTGAACCGTTCGCACTCACGGCTGACAATGCCAGCATGGGTCATAAATTCATCGGATTCATTTATGACCAGTTTTAAGCAGCGATAACGTGTATTGAAAAGAGGGTGCTGATCACCAAAACGTTTTTTTAGGGACTGAACAGTAGCATCGAATGATTGGGCGCGTGGGTTCTGCGGCAGGATGTAGTTGGATTACTAGTCTAGTTCTGACGGACAAAGTTTTCTAAGGCAAAGACACACTTTCCAAGAATCATCTCTGCCTGAAAAATCAATTTCAAAGAGGTCTTCATATAGCCTGAACAGAGTATCAAATGTAATATCGGCGTCAGTATCATAAAGAAACTTTGAAATGCCGCTGGTCATACCATCGACTGACTGAGGAATTGTCGTTTTAGATGAGACTTGAGAAGAGGTGTGCGTTTGAGTAAGTATCGTCATCGATTTTAGCTGTTGTGCAAACACTGTATCTAAAATAGCAGCATCCATCATAATTCACCAGACCGTTTGTCAAAATGCCGCCGCCATATTGTCACGCTCTACTCTAGGTAAGCTTAAACTAGGCGAATAACGAGAACAAACAATAAACAAGCAACCAGATAGGCTACTGTGATCCCTTGACCAAATTGTATCAGCAGGAAGTCTTGATATAGAAATCGTAGAAATTGTATTCTACAAACACCCAGCCCGCATACAATGAATCCAAGCACTCAAATTGCGTTTATTTATACTCTATAGAGACGTTCTTGGGACAGTCATAAAAATAGCACACTTAACTGACACAGTAACCAATTACTGCCAAGGATTCTCCTGGTGGGAAATGTGATCTCAAAATCAACTGATCGATCCATGAAATAAATCGAAAATAAATATATTTATCAAGCTAGTTCTTGGGATCTATCACCCCTAACAGGTAGAGGTAGTGATTTTAGTGTTACAGTAATGGTCCTAATTGTAACCGTTAATAGTGCACTAATTAGTCTGCATAGTTGGGAGTTCATTGGCGATTCGGCGATGTATTGTAGTTCTACCACGGATAATTCTATGTGTTTAGTAATGACTGACTGTTAATGAAGTGACTAGATTTCATGATAGTACTAAATTGAAGAAGAATAGGACAAGAAAATTTAGTCTGAACTTTACATAGCCTGCATGCTACACACGAAGAGTAAGACAATACACACTTTTTTAGGAGGGTGTTTTTAACAGACTTTAAACAAGCTTTGTCAATTACGTTATTAACAACGGCATTAAGAGCTGTCAGGGTTAATAGGATTATGATCAGGCTTGCTACAAGGGGTTTGTGGTTGTTCATTCCGTATAAATTCATCCAGGATAAAGAACATATCTGTGAGCAAATAGACCAGGTCGACAGTAATGGATTTTTTGTGGCAAACAGGCTTACAGAAATTTCGTGAATTGCTTTAAACTTGATCCGCTTGCAGGCTTGTCAAGTTTTTAAGACCAGCCACACTATCTAACAAGTGCGTGCTGGTGTCACTATCGGATGAAATACAGGAAGTAGTGGATGTTGCCGAGTCACTCGGATGTAGGTAAGTTGTGTTCATAACAGTCAGCAGGATACAGGGTAAAGAGTTGTCGTTTTCAAGCTCACGGTAAAATTCTGTTGAGCCAGTAGGAAGATCAGAATAAGATACGGATGAAGCACTGTTCTTAAAACGTTTAATTTTATCGACTTTAGTTGCGGATTTTGATCTTTTACGTGTGTTATATTCGACGGTCGAAATTAGGTGTGTTTCAGATAAACTTGACACGTTTGTGGAGTTACTCGTAAGAAGAACTTTGGTACTATACGCACAATGTCTGTTTAGACTTATAAAGCAAAAAACTACAGCAAAGATGATTTAACTAAGAATAACCGATTCGTGTTTATGAAAGATTAGTTTATATATATTGCTGACCTAGTGTAAAACGATCGGAAAACTAAAAAGATAAAACACGTGAATAAAAGTTACAACCTTCAAAGTACTCTCTCAGCTTCGAAGATAATGTTAACTATTAAAGTATTTCTGTGACAAACCTTAACAAGAATGAAGAACGTCGACAGCGCTGATGGAAAACAGTTCAAGAAATGAGTTTCGATGACTGTTCACCATAAGCTGTCACTCAACATATAGTGTTCGATCAAAGACATTTTTAGCGCTACTGTACTTATCTGGTGAACCTTTCAATCACAGATTCGGCCACAGCACTTCACTGTCGACAGATTTGAATGCGGCTTCACGATCAAGGAACACCGCTATAGTAAGACGTCAAAATAAGTGTTTAGGATCTGACGAATTGTGACAGACAGAGAGACAGATGAAACGCAGAACTTCGTACATAAGTTTATCAGTTCAGGTTGCCATACCACGTCAGCACAGAGACGTAAATGACAGTTCAAATCCAAGATTGATAGTGATAGAAGAATTATTAGCAGCAATGTAGAAGATTAGAGAGCGAAGATATGATTCGAAAAGTATAATTCAGTGAGTTAAATTTAAAAGGAAAAAGGTAGAGATTATGGGGAATTCAGGAGGTTAGAATTAGGGAGAACACAAAGAGTGGATGTAATTGCGCCATTGCAAACGCTGTTGAGCCATGTCGTTCAAAGTCGCTAACCATTGGTGACTATTGTCTCGCGGACCCCAACCAGGTAGCCTACATATAATAACATTACTCAGTCCACCTGTCAGTGACTTCATGGATTTCTGCCATGTTTTGATCTGACCGCCATTAAATTTCTTCCAACACCACAAAACATAGCTCGTCGCTGCATTCAGTGGTTATCCATACGTAACACATGTCTCAACCACCTCAATTGATGCAGCTTGATTACTTCATCTATTGATTCGCCATCACTA